TGTGGATTAAGAGTTCTTGGGCTGCTTAGCTGATTCTTAATGAGGGTCTCTCATGGAAGTTCTAATCAAGACGTTGGCTGAGGCGACAGTCACCTGAAAGCATTCCTGGCAGATCCGCTGCAGAAGGGGGGACCTGCTCTCCGTGTGGCCCACTCAGATGACGGGAAATCAGGGCTGGTTCTCAGGAGACTCATGTCGTCCTCGCGCAGGCTTCTCTGCAAGACTGCTCAAACATCCTCATGACGTGGCAACTGGCACCCTCCGGACTGAGAGTTTCAAAAACCGGGGCAGAAGCAGTCATGCGATTGATGCCATTTTCTTCAGCACTGCCACTTCCACTGGCATAGAGCAACTCTCAGCGTGAGAGGGATCACACACCAGAGAGAGCGCCATCCCCCGGAGCCATCTTGGCACCTCCTGTCCCCGGGACCTGGTGACTCTTATTGTTGGTGCTGAGTAGTCCACTGTCAGTATATTGCTTTGTTTTATAAAAATATACTTTTTTTTGCTCTTGAGGCTCTTATAATCTTCTAATTGTCTTGAAAGTTCTGCAATTTTACTTTTTATTTTTTCTTGTGTTTCATTGTGATTCAAGTCATGTTTGTTATGAATTCCCCCAAATTTATAGTCATTATCTTTTAGAAAATGTTTTCTCTCCTGCTATCTCTAGTATTTCTTCTGGCAGTTCAATTTGACAAATACTGCTTTCTCATTATATCCTGAATGTCATAACCTCTTTTTCATAATTTGTCTTTGTTTCTCTGGGCTGAAACATAGTTATTTCCTCATATCTTTTAGGTCCCTAGTCCTTTTCTATCCTAACTGCTTTTTAACAACCCATTATTTTATTTTTTATTTTCAGTAATTACATTGATCACTTATGGGTATTATTTTCCAGCCCAACTGCCTCACTTTTATAGTATTTTGTTTCTAATTCATTCTTACCATTTCCTCTCTTAATCATGTAAAGATTTTGGCAGGATTATCCTTATCCTTATTCTGATTATTTAGAGTATGTCAGGTACTGTGAACTCTGATTCTATTGACTTGCTTTTTTCCTTCCCCTGATTCTCTCATTGTGGCTTGTTTGGCATTTTTTGCACAATTTCTTATTTAATTTATCTAAATTTGTTGGAATCCTGAGAGGTTTGAAGTCTATTTCAGAGAATAAGGTCTTTTGCCTTTGCCAAGGCTGTGAGGAAGAATATTTACTGATTTACCTAAAATTTCTGCTGTTTTTAGTGTGAGAGTTTTTAGAACATTGAATGAGCATATTTCCAGAGAATAAACAATTTTGATTTCTTCCAATAAATGTAGCTTGAATTCTAAATATTGGGCTTTGAAGACAATATTGTTTGAATAAAGGTTACTTTTATAAAAATAATCTCTCTACTATAGAAAGACTACCAGAAATATCCCCAAACTGAAAGGACAGAAGTAATACAGAAGGCAGCCTTGGAAATCATGGCCAATGTGAAAATGACATAGCCAGTATGACCCCATATTTGGAATTGTTTGTATAGCTGGAGGAACAGACAATGTCTGTAATTTTTATGGTCTTTTTTTCTTGAGCATATGTGGACTCAATTAGTGGGTAAATAAATTGAAGTACAATAGCTTTTTATGAGTAAACATTAATAGCTGCTAAAAAAGACAATGGCTAATATCTGATTATTGGGCCATTTTCTATAAACTGTTTTTTGATTAACAGCAATAATTGCTGTCTTCCTTTTCAGTACTATTTATTAAACAGATAAAAGAGGAAGTGAGTTTTCTCTGGGCAAAAAGCCCCATGAAATCAGAACCAATGTTATATTCCTTTGGCTAAATTGTTCCTATGTTTAATTTCAGTTTTATATTTAGAAGCATTCAGATTTAAGTAACTCACTGCCTCCATTTATAACTCATTTTAAAGCAATAATGGAAAGCATAAGCCTAAAATACATTTTTCTCTCTTACTCAAATTACATCAAGATTTGTACACACACCCACACTCACCCATCTATGATTACAAAGACACACAGACACACAGGATAATTTTCATTATGTATTCATTTTCCTCACAGTAACTTAGGCTAAAAGAAATCCATGTTGTCTAAGTTATATCTGAATATGTCTACTTTCATTTCAGCCTTCTAGTAGGGCTTAATAGTTGATGCACTAAACTAGTTTTATTGCCAAAGAAATTCCTCAGCGATCATCAGAGGAAATTACTTTCCCTCTAATCTGTTCACTGTTCCTCTCATAGCACTAATTTCAGAATCTGCAGTTCAGATAACTGATACCTGGTTATGAATTAGAATTAGTTCATCTCAAATATGGTAAATTCTTAGAGATATCTAAAATCTGATAGATAACATGTAAAATATGCTTTGAGACATTCTTGAAAGGTTAAGTAAAAATTGAATTTTTCAAAAGCAATTCAAAATCTAAATATGCTATTACACCTCACTGCATGAAAGTTATTATCTTTTTTATTAGCATGAAGTAAATAATCATCCTTTAGTTTCTCTTTTCAAAGAGTCTTGATCTAAATGGGGTGGAGGAAATAATAATAGATTACGTTTCTTGGTCTTTTAGACAAAAATGTCCTTTTGGGCCATTGCTAGCTATGTCAATCTGATGAAAATTATAAATACTCTCCTCAGGAAAATGCACATATACATGGAATTTTATATATGATATCAGAAGTCCTGTCCATGGACTCCAGGTTTGATTTCTTGGTCTAGATGGGAAAACATAATTAAGTAGATAAATGGACCAATATACTACTACTTAAGACATATTATGTCTTGTTATATATTATTCATCATTACTCTAAGAAATAAAAGAAGGCTGCTGAAGTTTATATCCCATGATTTAAATACAAAATGATGGTCTACTTTATATATATTTTTTGACACAAGCTGTGCAGAAATGCATTTGGCTTTCTGAATTGCAGATTTCTCTTGATATAAAGTAATATAGTTTATAATATTAGATATAAAGTCTAGATCATGGTTATGATGTGCAGATTTTTAATGGTGCTAAGCAATACTTTTCATCTATGTGTATAGGTTTTTTTTAAAGATCTTACTGTAGTGCAGGAACTTAAAATGTTGTATCATATTTCTACTGAGGGCATTTGCCAAGTTCCATTGCTTTAAGATATTATTAATCAACTTTAGAAAAAAAATCATTCATATTTCCACATGATACTTGCTATGTCTTCTTTTTATTGTTTTTACCTCCATACAAAACATACCTGATGATTCTTACTTATATGTGTGGATAATTAATATTCTTTGATTATATGTATAAAAACTTCCTCTCCCCCTGAAGACTGGGCGTTTCCCATAATGTAATTATAATATATGAAGACACTGATGTACTGGCAATGTAACATAACCCCTATTGTGATCTTAGTGCTAATTCTTTTAATATGAAAATAATTTCAATTGACAGCTAGTGGCCTGATTAGAAAGAACAGTGAACTAGTCCCTCTTCTGGGAAACTCTCAAAGACAACAGATGTCCCAGATGACAAAATACTCTTAGTGGAAATACTGAACGTAAATGACCTTCTTTGGTTTCGTACATTGTAGCCTTGGGGATTTATTAATTTTTAATAAAGGATATGTGGAATGGATGTCTAATTTCTTTTGGGTAAAGAAACTCCAGCTAGACTTCAGTTACTTTGTTGGAGAATATATTCAACTGGAATGAAAGGCTTTTCAGCATTTTCCCAGTGTGACAGGGGGACTCCATATTACCAACGCTCTGGAGGGAACCGCAGGAGGTATGAGAGTCAGTGAGATTATGTGGCTCTGAATCCAGAAGGTATGAAGAAAAAACCACAGATATCTCATTTACAAATTATTTGTCTGACTGTGCAAAAACTGACTGAAAAATATATGCAATAAATAACAGTCAATGAATATTGCTAGTAGGTGAAATATGAAAAGCTAATAATTTTAACATGACACAAAGAGATAAATGTGAAACTGTGAAATGGATTCTGCAGCTTGCTAAATATTAATAAAAAATGCATATGTGACTTTCACCATTTAGTAGAGAAGATAACTCATATGCACAGATTGCTATAAAATACATTAGAGAAAGTAGTGACTTATGAAAGTTTAGAAGATAGGGGCTCACATTTGAGACATCAGACTCACTAATTTGGTCATACTTGAGCCAAGCTTTGAAGGATGGATCGCTTGGGCAACAATGAGAACAGGACATGGAAGGAATCCTCTGAACCAGAGAACAGAGGTAGAAATCCTAGGGTATTTTTGTGGACAAGTTGGACAGTGGGGCTGGTTACCAGGAATGGTGAGAGTTAACGGTAATTAAGCAGGCTGAGGTCAAAGCGTGGAACTTTCTGGGTACTTAAAAGGAATGCTCTTTATTCTCCAGGCAGTGACTGAGAGCCAATGAATGCTTTTAAATAGAGTATGGCACGTTCTGAGCTGGCCTCACAGGCTACACAGCAGAGGCCAGTAGCAAAGAGGGATATCCCACCCCTTTCAATAACAAATATCCTCGCACATCCTTGGTTATTTATATGAACAAAAGTACTAGTCTGAAACCAGCAGCAAATAGAAAAGTGATACATGTATCGATTAACTATTTTATTCTAAGGTGACAGTGATAAATGTGTATCACTTGAGGCTATAGTAAATGGTACCAATGTATTTTTTTTTGTAAAAAATAACAAGGGAACAACACGATACTCTGGAACTGAGATCTTCTGATGAGCCCTAAGTTTAAAAGCACAAACACTGAGCTGCAGGTACGCAGTGTAAGTTTCTAGAAAATGCGTCGTTAGTAAAACAAACAAAATCAGTGTTGTTGACTATCTGTCTGGCATAAATCACTCTGAGGGAAGGGTGAGAAGCTGTTCTCGAGGATCAAAATTCTAAATATGTAAGAATTCATACCAGAGTTACCAGAAGAGTATACATGTTTATGCAAGTCAAATACCTTTGGTTTTGTGATTTAAAATGTTGGAACTCTTACCTCGCACAACAAGGTCAGCTGAGGCTGAGGAATTATCCACAATTGTCTGAGCAGTGCACGTGTACCTCCCAGCATGTTTCAGCTGGGCATTTCGGATGAGCAGTTCCCCATTGGAATCCAGCTGTTAGCAAAAACAGCAGTCATTCACGTCAGTACATCTTCTTGCCAATTACACTGTATTTAGGACACAAGACGTACAAAGTGAACACGACTAAGAGGCACCTGTTCTAGATAGTCTGATGGGGCCTTGTTCAGGTTGTCTCGACTCTGGGCTTCAGTCTCATAAGGGAAAAATAAAGTGAATGAATTACTTAAGGAGCTTTTTAGTCATCTAGTATCTTAACATTCCATTATTTGTCTTTTCTCAGCCACCCTAGATTCAAGGCATGGATCTATGTCATCGAAATCTTTTAAAGAGAAATTGTTAAGGTTTAAAAATCTTAATTCTAAATGTCTGCGGATCAATAAATGATGTATGTCTAGGAAGAATTACTTAATTTGGCTTTGCAGAGCTGATCTAGTTGACTAATTTTAATTTTGTACCAGTTGCTTTTATTATAAATGTACTGAAAGTGTGCAGAAACTGTTGAAATGAACAGTTCTACTAACATGTTCTGTTTTGGCCAAGATACAAACTCCACGTGGGCAAGGAGTTTGGTTTTGTTTACTGCTCTATTCCCTCTACTTATAAGAATGGTCAGCATATATTTTTTGAAGGAGGCTTGAGGGGGGCTTGTGAATGCCACAGCCTCTAATGCAGCTCCTAACAATGGCTGACATTCATTGGATGTCTACTCACTCGTATGAGCCGTGGGGCTATGCAAGGATATACTCTCCCTCGATTCTCTTGTGAAAACAGTCCTAGGAGATAGGCCCTATTATGCCCACCTTATTAAAGGTAAGAGTGAGACTTAGACTGTCCAAGTAATTTAACTAAGGTTGCTCAGCTTGTCTGGTGGGGCAGCATGCTAAAGTCCAATTCGTGATCTCCAAACTACAGTTGACCCCTGAACCACAGGGGTTTGAACTGTGCATGTCCACTTACACACAGATGTTTTTTCAATACATATATTGCAGAAATTTTTTGGACATCTGCACCATTTGAAAAAACATTTTTTTTAATCTCTGGCTTACTTTATTGTTAACAATACATTATATAATACATGTAACATACAAAATATGTGGTGATTGTTTATCAGTAAGGCATCCAGACAACAGTAGGCATTTAACAGTTAAGTTTTTGGGGAGTCAAAAATTTTACAGGGATTTTTGACTGCATAGGGGGAGTTGGCATTCCTAATTCCCATGTTATTCAAGAGTCAATTTACTCCTCTTGAGAGAAAAATTTGGAAAACTCAATTTTTTAAACAGATAATTTTTTTTTCTGAGAATCAAAAATATTGATTTACTGCTCCAATTACAGATATCCAGATATATTAAGGGATGAAAAATTACTGGTTAGGTTAATATTTTACATAATAGGCAAGGTTATTGTTTACATGATATTATAGACCTGAAAATGTCTTAATTTTGATTTTTGTAATGACTGTATGTGGAATGAATGTCCTGCTTCACCAGAGGTTGTGCCAGTGGCCCTTTTACATATGAAATTCCCTGCGGATCCTGGAAAGCGCTTGGATTTTCAATTCTTGCTTGACTAACAACGTTAAGAATACAAGCACATCTTGGAAATACCGTGGCTTCGGCTCCAGCCCACCACAATAAAGTGAGTATTGCAATTAGGTGAGCTAAATGAATTTATTTCCAAGTGCATATAAAAATTATGTTTACACTATGCTGTAGTCTTATTAAGTGTACAATAGTATTACATCTAAAAACAATAAACATATCTTAATTTTAAAATACTTCATTGCTAAGAAATGCTGATCATCATCCGAGCTTTCAGGACGTCTTTACTTTTGCTGGGAGACAGCCTTGTTTTAGTGGTGACGGCTGCTGACTGGTCAGGGTGGTGGCTGTTGAAGGCTGGGTGGCTGTGACAATTTCTTTAAAATAAGACAACAGGGAAGTTTGCCAAACTGACTGACTCTTCATGAACGATTTCTCTGGAGCATGGGATGCTGTTTGATGACATTTTACCCAGAGCAGAAATTATTTCAGAAGTAGAATCATTCCTCTCAAACCCTGCCTCTGCTTAATCAGCTAAGTTTATGTCATATTCTAAATCCTTTGTGGTCATTTCAACAGTGTTTACAGCATGAAGACCCGGAGTAGATTCCACCTTGGGGGCCACTTTCTTTGCTCACCCCTAAGAAGCAGCTCCTCTTCTGTTCAAGTTTTATCCAGAGACGCAGCAATTCAGTCACATCTTCGGGCTCTACTTCTAATTCTAGTTTCTTGCTGTTTTCACCACTTCTGCAGTTACTTCCTCCACGGAGGTCTTGAACCCCTCAAGGTCATCCATGAGGACTGGAATGAACTCCTTCCCACTCTTCCTGTGAAATCACAAATGTTCTTAATGACCTCTAAAAGTAGAATCATTCCTCTCAAACCCTGCCTCTGCTTAATCAGCTAAGTTTATGTCATATTCTAAATCCTTTGTGGTCATTTCAACAGTGTTTACAGCATGAAGACCCGGAGTAGATTCCACCTTGGGGGCCACTTTCTTTGCTCACCCCTAAGAAGCAGCTCCTCTTCTGTTCAAGTTTTATCCAGAGACGCAGCAATTCAGTCACATCTTCGGGCTCTACTTCTAATTCTAGTTTCTTGCTGTTTTCACCACTTCTGCAGTTACTTCCTCCACGGAGGTCTTGAACCCCTCAAGGTCATCCATGAGGACTGGAATGAACTCCTTCCCACTCTTCCTGTGAAATCACAAATGTTCTTAATGACCTCTAGATTAGTGAATCCTTTCCAGGTTTTCAATTTACTTCGCCAAGATCCATCAGGAGAATCACTACGGCAAGTCCAGCTTTAAAAAATGTATTTCTTAAATGATAAGACTTGAAAGTCAGAATGCTTGATCCATGGACTGCAGGATGAACGCCGGGTGGCAGACACGAAAACAACATTCATCTCTTAGTCTGTCTCCATCGGAACCCCTGGATGACCAGGTGCAGTGTCCATGAGCGTCATACTTTGAAGTAGTCCGGAACCGTTTCTGAGCAGTAGGTCTCAACAGCAGGCTTAAAATATCCAGTAAACCATGTTGTAAACAGGTGACTTGTTGGTATCCAGGCTTTGTTGCCCCACTTACGGAGCACAAGGGGAGAAGATGTAGCATAATTCTTAAGGGCCCTGGGATTTTCAGAATGGTCAGTGAGCACTGGCTTCGACCTAAAGTCACCAGCTGCATTAGCCCCTGACAAGGGAGTCGGCCTGTCCTTGGAAGCTCGGTACTGACTTCTCCTCTCCAACTGTTAAAGCCTTAGATGGCATCTTCTTCCCACAGAAGGCTTTTCTGTCTGCTTTGAAAATCTGTTGTGCGATGTAGCCACCTTCATTAATGATCTCAGCTAGATCTTCTAGACTACTTGCTGCAGCTTCTGCGTTAGCACCCGCTGCTTCGCCTTGCACATATTCTTTTCCTAACAGTCCTGTCGGCCATATTTTTACTAGGGATTCCTGAGTGGCCTTCACTCTCCCAGCATCCTGCCATGTTGCCGGCACCCACCCCACTCCCACCTCTCACTTGTCTTTGCTCTTCTCTCTTCTCCTGGAAAGAAATCATTAGTCTTCTTTCCTCATGTTAAGCTGCTTAATTCTCTGATGGTTGCTTACATTTTGACAATACCTGTTCTTGCAAACATTACTTTCTCTTTTTAGTGTTTTTCCGTATCTCCTTAATGCATTTTAATCTGCTTCCCTCCCACATCTTCAACTAGTGTTTTTTTTTTGGCTTCTAAATCCATTTGAATTTCCCTCCCAAACACTCCAATTTTCCAGTCATCTATGACAACACTTCCCAGAAACTTTGCCGACATTCTCAACCCCTCTCCTTTAGCTCCTTGCAACTCCATCATAAATTCTTGAATGCATTCATTCCTTCTCATCACTATTACTTCTGTCCTGGTCCAAGCTACCAACATCTCTCACTAGACTACTATATCCTATCTGGTCATGACATCCAGCCCATCCCACTCTTTTCCTTCTCCATTTGGTACCCAGAGGGACCTTTTAAACATGCAAAGATACGCAAATCGCCCCTCTCTGAAAAACAAACAAACTGAAACTTATAAAACTTTTCCCCTTCCTGGAATAAAAGCCCTACGTGTTGTGGCGGCCAGCTGGGCTCCATTCTCTAGGTTCTGCTCAGCAGCCCAGCTCCCCTGGTGCCGTCAGCTCACTCACACTCTCCTCTCCAACAGCCCCCTCCCTTTTTAAGACCTTAAATGCATCGTGTCCTCTTCTCCTCTGGTTCTGCCTGATGCTTCCCCTCCTGAAATGTGATCTCCTCACGCCCCAGCCCCTTCCCACCTTCACCTAAATAACACTTACCCTGTCCCCACCCATACAGTTCAGGTCATTTCCTCAAGCAAACTGCCATTTTCTCTTGTATTTTCTCATAGCACATTTTGCCTTATGTCATGTCATGTATCTCAATTACAATGAAATATTTGTACAGCTGTATGATTCGAGTTGGTTTCCCTGAAGGACTACAAGTTTTATGCAAGGAGGAAACAAGCCTGCGTGTTCAGCATTGTGTTTCTGTGCTATACATACATGCAGCTGTATGTGCTGTATCCACAACACCAGGAACATAGTAACACTAAACATAAAACACAAAATAACAACTAAATGTTGTTTGAATGAACTACTCAACTTGCTTATGGAGAATTCTGGCATCTGCTCTTAAAGTAATACATGTTCACTTCACATCAGCTATAGGGAGCATGGGGTTATCAAGTTCAGATAGCCCCTGACAGTAGCAGTGTTCCATAAGCAGACACTGACACTTATTTTGGTGTCAAGATGAAATACACATTCTTGCGACCTCCTCACACACCTCTGGTGCCCCAGCCACTGTGAACAAGTTATAGTGCCATGTGTTCGCTTTCCTGCGGACCTTTGCACGTCACTTTCATTGCCTGGATTTCCCCATCCCCTACTCCTAACACTTAGCTAACACAGTCATAGTTTAGAAGGACCTTTCTTTTCTGG